TTTCACCCAAGGGAGCTTATTTTAAAGTAAATTAGAGGTTTATTAGTATTCTTTACATTTCTATAATGCTTAACAGATGCATTAGAGAGATGCGTTAGAGTTTTTTGGGGGGGGGTGTGCGTAATGGTTTAATCACGGGCTAAAGATAGCTTTGGTTCAAATTCTGGCTCTGACAATTACTAGCTGGATGAACTTGGCCAAGTTGCTTTACCTCCCTGTGCCTCAGTTTCCTCATTTGTAAGTTGAGGCTAGTGAGAGTATCTACCTCCTAACATTGTTTTGGCGATTAAAAGAGAGAAGATAGATATACAAAATGTTTAGAAGGATGCCTGGCATGGAGTAAGTGGGCAATACATAATCCTCACGAGAAACCCAACATGCCTATCATTCCACGTTGCCTTTGGGCAAAGGTCATCGAAGGCTCTCAGGATCTTGCTCGATAGATATACAAAATGTTTAGAAGGATGCCTGGCATGGAGTAAGTGGGCAATACATAATCCTCACGAGAAACCCAGCATGCCTATCATTCCACGTTGCCTTTGGGCAAAGGTCATCGAAGGCTCTCAGGATCTTGCTCACCTTCCCTCCGGCCTTCTCTCCTGTATCTCCCCATTGCACCACGAGGCTTTGGCCATACTTGTGTTCATTTCTCTGTCTGCATTTTATGTTTCTTCCTCCTGGCCTATTCTTTCTGTTCTCCCACCTTCTATTCTTGGCAAGCTCCTGTTTGAATAGCACCAACTGGGGCCCCGAGAACGTGTTTACTTGTTCTGTTTCTTAAAAAAATGGAATTAATTTTCCAAATTTACAAATCTGAAAATTTCTCATAAAAATCCAGAATTTGAAGTTATCTTAAAGACTCCAAAGGCATGGTAACGCTGGGGTCCACATTTCTGCATGACAGCTAGAGACTGGAGCTGAGGAGGCCTCCTTTTGATGGAGTGTGCATACTCCAATTTGCCACAGTCTCCACCACTCCCTACTGTCTCGAAATGGCTGTTTTACCCACATACACTCCTGGCCTGGTCCTTACAGGTGTTTGAATTTGGCACCCCTGCTTTAAGATTCCTGCAGATTTTCTGATCAACTCTCCCTCTAGACACTGGATTCTCTTTGCCTTGGATTTAGCCGAGACTCATGTCCTGACTTTGCTGCCTCTCACTCTTGCCCAACTGTAGGTGCCCCCCAGCCCCTGGGAGATGGTGGAAAGGGTGGATATTTTTTCTCTTATCTTGTGCATCCTTTTCTTCCTGACTAGAGGCTCTAGAGAGGTGACCAGACAGGGTGAAGTGAGCTTCTGTGGACCGCGCCCGTGGTATCCACCAGTGGCTGCCTCTTCCTCTGCCTCCTCCTCTAGCTGAACTCTGTGTGCTCTCAGAGACACCTCCTGGTCCATGCAGAGTAAGAACACAAGGACTGAAGTGTCTCCGTGTTCTTCCACAGAAGAATTCATACACTCATTCCTCTGTATATGGACTGCTCTTTTCACTCACTCTCTAGTTCATTCAACCGCTAACTCACTCAACAACCATTTGGTGATCACCTACTGCCCGCCAGGCACTGCGTTACATGCACGCCTGGAGAAGAGGAAAAGCAAACAACCCACAGTAACAAAATTTACCCTGTGACCTTGGGCTGGACATTTACCTTGTTGGGCCTCGGTTTCCCCACGGAGATTTATTGACTTCATTAGAGATCATTTTGTTTTGGCTTTCTTTCATCCCTTGACTCTGTCCTCAACTTCCTGTGTCATCTGCAAACTGTAATCTGCAATCTGTCAACAGCCTATGAATTCTAGAGAAATCCCCCTGTACTTGTGCCTGCAAACCACAAATGTTCTCAGACAGAGGGTCAAAGCCAAGAGGGAAACGAAGTGAGAGGAAGAGCAGGAAGAGGGTCCTAGTGGGAAGCCTGGTTTGGGTGGGGGCTGGGAGTGCAGGAAGGGAGCAGAGGGGCTGGACCCCAGATGCTCGCTGGGACCTGGAACCGTCCTGCGAAATCTCACACCCTCTTTGCTCCCTGCCCGCCCTGGCTCCAGTTCGGGCTGGATTTCAATCTGCATAATTTGTCCCATTTAGAGGGGGTGGGAGGGGGTGAGAACAGGAGGGTGGAGAGGTCTGAGGAGGGGGTTTCCCAAGGGGCAGGCAGGAGGTGGTGGCCAGAGGAAACTGGAGGGACAGCGGCTGGGGTGAAGGTGGGTGGCAGCCAGAGGGAGGAGGTGGGGCAGAGGAGAGCAGGCTTGCAGGACACAGATAACACTCTGCCCAGCACAGCAGGGGTCAATTTGGTCCACTTGCCCAGTGACAAGAAGAAAAAAAAAAGTGGGCTGTACCTTAAAGATCTTAAGACTCACAAGTGAGGGGCTGGTCTAGAGGTGGGAGGAGGGAGTGACAAGCCAAGGAGACAGAAACTCAGGAGGGTGCAAGGAAGTGTCTTAGCTGAGACGGGGGCAGGACAGGAGCGTGTGGAGGGAAGTCTGCAGGAGAGAGGCATCCTCCAGGGTCCGGAGCATCCAGAGGCAGCTCCTCCTGCGTGCTGGGAAGGGCTCCGGGCACCTCCAGCCCTTCTCGCCCTCTGAAGCTCAAGCCAGAAGCTCTGGGTGCTTGCTGAGTTGGTGACAGAGCTACAGAGCTGGTACCCCCAGGACCCCCTGCCCGTCTTCTCTCCGCTCCCCAGCATGGAGGAAGGTGGCGATTTTGACAATTACTATGGGGCAGACAACCAGTCCGAGTGTGAGTACACGGACTGGAAGTCCTCGGGGGCCCTCATCCCCGCCATCTACATCTTGGTCTTCCTCCTGGGCACCACAGGCAACGGGCTGGTGCTCTGGACCGTGTTTCGGAGCAGCCGGGAGAAGAGGCGCTCGGCTGACATCTTCATCGCCAGCCTGGCGGTGGCTGACCTGACCTTCGTGGTGACCCTGCCGCTGTGGGCCACCTACACGTACCGGGATTATGACTGGCCCTTTGGGACCTTCTCCTGCAAGCTCAGCAGCTACCTCATCTTTGTTAACATGTATGCCAGCGTCTTCTGCCTCACCGGCCTCAGCTTTGACCGCTACCTGGCCATCGTGAGGCCAGTGGCCAACGCGCGGTTGAGGCTGCGGGTCAGCGGGGCGGTGGCCACGGCGGTCTTGTGGGTGTTGGCTGCCCTACTGGCCATGCCTGTCATGGTGTTCCGCTCTACCGGGGACCTGGAGAACACCACCAAGGTGCAGTGCTACATGGACTACTCCATGGTGGCCACCTCGAGCTCCGAGTGGGCCTGGGAGGTGGGCCTGGGGGTCTCGTCCACCGCCGTGGGCTTCGTGGTGCCCTTCAGCATCATGCTGACCTGCTACTTCTTCATCGCCCAGACCATCGCCGGCCACTTCCGCAAGGAGCGCGTGGAGGGCCTGCGAAAGCGGCGCCGGCTGCTCAGCATCATCGTGGTGCTGGTGGTGACCTTCGCCCTGTGCTGGATGCCCTACCACCTGGTGAAGACTCTCTACATGCTGGGCAGCCTGCTGCACTGGCCCTGCGACTTCGACCTCTTCCTCATGAACGTCTTCCCCTACTGCACCTGCATCAGCTACGTCAACAGCTGCCTCAACCCCTTTCTGTACGCCTTCTTTGACCCCCGCTTCCGCCAGGCCTGTGCCACCATGCTCTGCTGGGGCCACAGCAGGTGCGGGGGTAGCTCCCCCAGCAGCAGCGGGGAGAAGTCGGCCAGCTACTCTTCGGGGCACAGCCAGGGGCCCGGCCCCAACATGGGGAAGGGTGGAGAGCAGACGCATGAGAAGTCCATCCCCTACAGCCAAGAGACCCTTGTGGTTGACTAAGGCTGGGAAGCCTGGTGCCCTCAGCCCCACCCAGCCTCTGCCCTTGCTCCCTGAGAATCAGGTAGCGTAGCTGCAGCTTCTCCCTTGCACCCCACTCCTTTCTCGGCTCCCTGCTTCCCGTCTCCCTCTTGTCTTCTTGCTCCTTTACTCTTTCTCAGAGGTTTGTGGTTTAGTACGAAAGAGGCTGCGCCCGCAGAGCATTGCTTGGCTCATCAGTGTCTGTGAGGCTGGTGCTGCATAAGGCTCTGAACCACCCTGAACCTCAGTTTCTCCATTGGTATAAAATGGGGGAAAGTCATACTGACCCTAAAAGGTTGAAGGGTGAGTGCTGACTCAATAAAAATTTGTTTCCCTCCACCCCTTTTCTTGGATCTCCAGTCCTCTTTTCTCTCTCCTTTCCTTCTAGTTTTCCTCTCTTTCTGCAATTCTTGCTGCTTGCCCTTGCCTTCTGGCTCCAACCCCTCTCCCACAGCTCACCCTCCCCAATCCCTCCTCCTCCTCCACTTTCCTCCTTGTTCTGAGGGGCTCCTGAGGGTTAAGAATCCTGAAGCTTGCAAAGACTGACCCAGTTCAAGGTCTTTATCCTGTTTTCTGAGAGCAGCCAGGGTACGGGCTGGGGTGGGTGGGCTGTGTCAGCAAAGAATTTGTGTTCCAGTCCCTGGAGCCAGAAGCTCCAGAATGTTCCCTAAAATTGGATCAGTTCACTGTCATTTATGGCACTGGGGCTAGAGTGGTCCCTGAAGAGAACCTCCTTTCCTACAGCCCCTCCGTGATGTCCACTAGAAATGCTTTCTATAGATTTCCTCAGACCCTTCTGTTCTTCCTCTGTTTTCTGTGGGAACTGAAGGTAAAGGGGTAGAGGCACTGATGTGCTTCTTGGTTCGTCATAGGAATTGGGAGTTGGGAAGGGAAACTAGTGGAAGAGGGGATGGAGGGGGTCTGCATTTAGTGTATATGCTGCTTGGTTCCCCAAGTCCTCATCTCCCAACCTGCTCCAGAACTGTGAGCTGCACATCTATCTCCTGCTTCCCCATCTCACCCCATCACCCCCCAGATGTTTTTCTTGGACACCGGTACTGCTTGGTGCTGAGTGTCACTTTGGTTGGGGTGGGGGAGCTTGCTTTTTGTCTGCATGAATATATATATAATATGCACATCTATCTCCTGCTTCCCCATCTCACCCCATCACCCCCCAGATGTTTTTCTTGGACACCGGTACTGCTTGGTGCCGAGTGTCACTTTGGTTGGGGTGGGGGAGCTTGCTTTTTGTCTGCATGAATATATATATAAT